ACAAAGGTTTCATTGCTGATATTTAATGACACTGTCAGGTACCGGGGTAGGAAAATGATGATGTTTCCAGGGACAGGACACTCTGGGGGGTGATCAGGGTTAGAGAGGGTTGTCATGATCGGGGATGGGGTCCCTGTGGAGAGACCAGAGGAGACACACTCAGGCTTTTGGTCTCTCACCATGGAATGTCTCCTCCACCCCACCCCATCCCTTGAGGCTCTGTAAGAACTGACACCAGGTGCTGGCTCTCAAGCCCAGACCTTCAGAATCCTGGAGTGATAGGAACCCGATTTCATAACTTAGTCGCTGCTGTCGGAAACAGAGAAGAGGCAAATCCACACAGAGAATCGGCGCTGTCGGAGGCTATGTCCACAGAGCAAGCCGCACTGACCACCCTGCAGGCCTGTTTTCCCAGGAAGCTCGCAAGCTGCTCCCTGCTAAACCCGTCTCAGCCACGGGAAAACTGCTTAGAATCTTCGGTCACACCACCTGCAAGTGAGGCAGCCAGGACTGGGAAGTGTTCCTTCACGTGGTTCCTGAGTCCAAGAGTCTTTACAGCGCCTCACTCAGCTGCGGATGTAGTTCAGGGGTAGATCTCTGGCCTAGCCTCCTTGAAGCCCTAGTTCAAATCTCAGTACCGAAAAAAAAAAAAAAAAACCAATACAGCAAGGTGCCTATTTGGCTGTGCTGCCGCGCGCCTCTATTCTCAGCACTCAGGCATGAAGATCTGGAAGATCTTAAGGCTAGCCTGGACTTCTTAGTGAAACCCTGCCTCGTTAAAATTAATTAACTAAAGAGGCAAACCAAATCATCACAAGGAATTTAGGGCTGGGCTTTAAGTAGTGCCTGTGACTAGCGGTCAGGAGGAAGACTCCGGGAGCACTGGGAACCCTTCTCCCTTGCCCCTGAAGCTCTCTGGACTTCAGTCCTAGAACTCCACGCATGAGTGGCGAAGCACTGAGGAGAGGGAACCCAGCTCCGTCCCATCGCGGGGCCGTCAACCTGGGTAAACTGAGGCCTGGCCCGCTGCTCCCCTCCCCCACACGCCGGTTCCTGCCCGGCCTGGGCTGGCAGCGCCCTGGCACGCGGCGGCTCCGCTCCGCTCCCGTCCCGGGCAGGCCAAACGCGGAGCTCGCCAGCCTCTCCCGCTCCTGGCGCTGCTGCCCGGACCCGGAGCCCGCCTCTCCCGCTCTGATGTAAGCTGATATTTTAATTCTCTTACAAGGAATGGTGTTTAGAGAAATGACTTAACCGGATTACTCATCGTCGATAATGACTTGGCCAGGCTCCGAGGCTATTCCTAGACGTGACGCTTGAGGCTTTGATTCTCTCTCCTTACTTTTGAACACCCCCTCCTCCACTCCCCCCTTTCCCTTGCAATGCCAAGAAATTACAGTGAGTGGCGACTTCGCCCCTACACGCCCCCTTCTAGCAAGGCATCCTGGGAGATGCAGTTCTCTTTTGACTTGGGCCGCAACCCGGTCGCTCCCCATCCCCGCGCTGCTGAGCACTGGTCAGGGTTAGGTGGAAGCAGAGGTCACTGAAGTGAGCCGCGTCTCAGTTTAATCCATCTGTCAAATGGGAGGAACAGTCAAGACATTCGAACAGGATTGAAGGGCCCTCCGAGATCTTAAGTAAAACGGCTACACTGATGTAAACTGAAGTACTTCCCCAGTCTCCGTTTACCGCTCTGTGACAAACTATGACACAAGGAACCAAGGTCTGGTGGCCCTGTGCCTAGGACCTAGCGCATAGTCAACCTTTCCTTACTTCTTCTAGACTGTGTCTGAGCCGGCGAACGTACAGTGCTCTGGCGCTCCGTTCTCAATGTCCCAAGAGAATTCTGGGGACAAATACAGTGCCCATTTTGTAGGGATCAGGTGAGACGGGGGTGGAGAATGGGGGAGTGTCTCATGGAGATAACACTACGCTGATTCTCCAGCGTGCCCTTTGCTATCTGTTAGTGGCTATAACTGTCTAATTTGGTGCCAGCACACAGGACTACATGACACATTTTGGATGGATGGATGGGCACAGCATTATTCCTGCCTCCTCTGACAAGTCCCCTGTGTCTGAGAGGCCAAACAACTCCCACAAGATTGCACATCCGGGCTGCGTATGAGTGCAAGTGAAAACCCCAAATTCTTCCCTACCCCAGGAGGATTCAACTGTCACTTTTCAGGGGCAAGTTTGTTATCTTGGGTTTCTGTTGGGTGGGGAGAGGTCCAGGGAGCCCCCCCCAACCCCCAACCCAGCCCTAACTCAACACAGATTCAGCTGGAGGTGCGGAGGGGGCTTGGAGCACCTTCCTTTAACCCCGGGGACAGTGAGCATACCTCTTCTCCTAGGAAATTGTTTCTCAGCGATCTGGGACTCAGCCATCCCCCAGCATTGCTGCCTCCCCAGTCCCTCATCCCTAGCCTGTCCCCAAAGGCCAAAAGCTATTCTTGTCTCTTTCTAAAATCCGCATTTGAAACCATGAGCCCATTTTTTCCATTCCCGGGCTTGGGTGCCGTCTATTTCGAGCATTTGTTGTTTTCCATGAGTTGCAAATGCCACTGTGAAGCAGCCTTTCCTGGACAGCTAGCATAGGCAGTGGGGGCAGTGGGGAGCCAGGCAGGGCCAACAGTTAAAAATACTCCCCCAGTTCACTCCCCTTTGAAAACAAGGCCCCAGGGGTATTTTGCAACTGCTGAGCCTGGGAACAGAGCAAAAACAGGGGGAAGACAGGCTGCTTGTCCTGTTTTCTGAACACACTGAACGGCTTTGAAGGTCTCAGATGAAGCGTGGCACCGACTTTCCTGTGTGACTTCCAGCAGCTTGGTTGACTTCTCCAGGCCTGAAAGCTCCAGGATGAGAAGCACCCCGAGAGCAGGTCCCGAGAGATGGAGGAGGTGTTAGAAGGTAGCCTTAGCTCAGTCTCCCCCCAAAAGTGCTCTCAGACATGTAGAAGTTTCTCAGCAGGATTCAGGTAATGGGGGGGTCTCTTGAGAAACCACATCAAGACACCGACAGTAGTAGATGCTAATGGAGATGCTGATCTGTGTCTTATGACACCAAGGATCAGAAGTGTATCAGCTAAAAACACACATTAAACAAAGTTACATGTTTTACCATACCATGGATATATATATTTATGAGAATAAGTAAGGAACATTCTAAAAGACTATCCAATCTGATAAGGAGAGGGAGGGAACTGGATTTGGGGCAGGGCCAGAGAGGACTGATTTATCCTCAATGTTCTCCCCTCCTCGGGAAGAATGCGTTTACACATTAGCAGTGTTTTTCTTCTGGAGGCTGGCAGAGAGACAACCAAGACAGGGAGGGGCTAGTGACTGCTCAGGCTACCCTGGGCTGGTGTTCTAAGGAAGGAGGGTGATGGAGGAAGGTGGCTGTGAGCTGGGCCAGGGGTGTGTAAAACAGAAGCTTGAGCAACGTGAGTGTTTGTGCTTTTAGGAAGGCAAGTGGAGGTATCATTCCTCAGCAGCGTTTATTAGCTGTTGTAAATTACTTTCTGTTGCAAACAGTTGCCTCGGGAGACAATTAAATTTGGATCGTATTGTTCTCAGGTTGCTCCAGACAGGTGTTGACTTGCTGAGGCCTTGCACAAACAGCCCCGCCTAGATGACAGGCTCCTCCTATCCAGTTCTACGATTAGCTTTGTAAGGTAGTGAGTGCCTGACTGACGAAGCATCCTATCCGGGAGGTGGTGGGTGCTCTGTACTGTGACACTGGAGGCAGCATGCGGACCTCTCGCTGGCCTGGCACTGCGGCCAGCCCAGTCACTCCTTACCAAACGGGTAATGTGGAAGGAGAAGCCTGTGACGTTTCTGGGTGGTATCCATCGGTAGATAACGTCTCTGTCAGAGTCTCAGATCTCCTGGGGTGGAGTGTGGCCTGTAATCTTGGATGTGGGAGGCAGTGTTGCAATCCTTACTCTGGTGATTATTCTGAGCGGTTAATAAATATTGACAACAATATTTATTAACCGCAAGCACCGGCTGTTACAATTATCCCACCAGAGTTACCTGCTCCGGGCTGAGCATGCGGATCTGCGGTTGCAGAGCCCATGGATAAGGCCCAGAGGGCCATAGTCACCAAATGCAGCTCCCTCAGTTTGTTCATTGTCAACAGGAGCACTAAACGGAGCATGAAATGTCAGGGGAAGCGGTGTGTGCCCACGGAGTCCTCCTCCTCTGTGCCTACGTTCAGCCCTAGCCCCACCATTTACCAGTTATATGAGGTAGTGAATGCCCTAGCCCTGTTTCATTCGGAAAAAGGAGGGCAGTGATGATGTGAAATGCACAGAGCTAAGTACTGATCAACAGATTTTGATGCTGGGGATGCCAGCTACATACCAGGAACAGAGTTCAGGTCCAAGCTTTGCAGGTGCCGAAGCTTCCTGCTTTTAAACCTTGTTTGGGCTTCATCTTCTACAACCCACACAAGCCCAGATGACTGCCTTGCCTCCTCTTGTCCCCACTCACCTCATCCTCAACTCCCTCACTTCCTCTTTGCACGGTTCAGCTTGTGGCTGTCAGTCTACTTGACATACGTGGACATGGGGACTACGGGCAGGCCTGGGGCATTAGGCCTGGGCCACAGACTTTCTAGATTGGCCCCGGGTAGGCTGACAGTACTCACCTCTGTATGTGAAGCTGGATAGGATGGCACCGGCCAAGACCAACCACTTGAAGTCAAAGCCAGAGCACTTTGTTTAACCCCACCCAGTCTTTGGCACGCTGCAGAGAGCGGGCAGCTGTCTAAGACTCTAATTTGGCCTCTAGGGAAATCAACAGACACAGGGGCGGCAGTGATTCTTAAGTGTCCTGAAGCAGCACCACACTGTTAAGGGGAGCAAACTACCATTCCCAGACTTCCTCGGGCGCAAGGGGCGGGGTCATCCCCGCCCTCGAAAATAGGATTATCTAATGGGAGCCCAGAGCGCAGCAGGGCGGGTCCAGGGGCGGGTCAACGGGGAGGCGGCAGTCGAGCGGCGCCGCGAGTCAGTCGCGCCGAGAGCGCTGGGTCGGGGCGGCTGCGCGCGTGGCGGGTCTCCGGTCGGTGACGCGGGATCTCGCCGGGCCATGGGTAAGCGGCTCGCGGGCGGCGCCGAGGTCGTGGGGCTGGGGTCCCGGGGCGATCGCGGCCCGCGGGGCAACCCGGCTGTCAGCGTGCTCTCCTCTCGTGGAAAGTCGGGGCGGCCAGGGGCTTCCCAGGCGTTTATCTCGAAACTCTCCTCTCCGGCTCTGGACTGAAATTCACTGAGCCGCCCACACTTCCTGCTGCGGTTTCAATCTCGAGCTGCTCTGGGCCCATTTGTTGTGACAGCTGTCAGCAGCAGCTTCTCGGCCGCGGGCCCCTCCCTGCCCCGTGCCAGCCCAGCGCTTCTCAGAACCCGAGGCGCCTGGCCGCGCGCGGCGCTTCCCACTGCGGCCGCGATTCCTGAAAGTGACTGCGCGGGTTTTGAAGAACTTGCTCAATGCGCTTTGAAGAATCAACGGTTCCTCTTTCTGCTGAGGGACGTGCCGATGGTTTGATGGCTTCGGGTCCGCAGCTCCTTCTCTCCCCTCCTCTTCTCTCTCTCTCTCTCTCTCTCTCTCTCTCTCTGATTAGTGAAAAGAGGGCAGGAGCACAGGCTGCTTTCCTTCAGCGTGACCCTCCACACTGCCCAGCCGTTGCCTCCTCGCTGGGGTCACACCCCACAGCCCGGGCCAGGAAGGGCTCGAATTCACCCTGAGTCGTGATCCTCTGACCTGCGGCGCCTTGTTTGCAGAGCCTTGCATTTCAGAGAAGGGGTCGCAGCAGCCAACGGAGGGTAGTAGGTGCCCCTTCACCCACCCCGCGGGCACTGCTGGCAATCAGTGCACATCTGAGGGTCTCAGAGCCAAAAGAGGATGCTAGAGCAGGGGAGGGTGGGAGATGTTAGCTCCAGGGTCTGGTCTCCACAGCAGTTACAGAGTCCAAACTGACTGCTTGGCATAGAATTTGAAATGACAGAGGCAAGATGGACCTTAGGATTCTGTATTCCCCCTCCCCCATCCTTTATTACAGTCAGAGAAACTGAGTCATAGTGACCGGCTCAGGTCAGACAGTGAGTGAGGGCCAAGCTTCTAAGACTCCTTGTCTTTCTCTCCTTTCCTGGTGGCCTTCTGTTGTCCTAGATGGAAAGCTGCCCACAATGGTCCACATTCTCTCTTGGAGCAGGCTAGGGTGAGGAGAGTGGGAGGAGAATGGAAAAGCGGTGATGGAGGGAAGTACCCGGTGTAGGGTTCTACCTACTGTTGAGTCACCCTCCGAGGCTTGTTTCTGCATAGGTAGGGTGGGAAAACCGGAAACGATCCTTATATAGGGCTCTATCTTTGCCAAACATATGGACAGAGGGGTGAGGCCATGGGAACTCAGTCCTTCCTGGAGAAGGTTCTCTTAGGAGATTCCAGGGCTGGGGAGCAGTGGGAGCCTGGAATCTCAAGATGGCCCGTTGTCCCTACACCCCTCTCTGCCTTCATGTACCTCTTCGGGCTCTCATCTGGTCTCTAGCCACTCACAGCTCACCTCTCCCTGCCTTGGCAGAGGTGCAAGGGTAGGAAGGCTGTTCTGTGCCCCAGACTCCTGTCCAGCTGTCTTCAAGGCTGGCTCTTGGCAGGACCACCCCTCCCCAAACTGCCTACTGGAGCAAACCCAAAGAGGAGAATGCCAGGCAGCAGGCTTCTGGGCCACAGAGTGGACTGACCGCTTCAAAGGCTGTCTTTGTTTCCTCTCCAGCTTGAGCTAAGAGAAACTTAAGCCAACAACCTCAGGCAAGGGGGTGGGGCCGTGTCTGCCGGTTGTTATTGAGGTTGCTGTTGCCATTATTGTTGTAATTGACGTAGTGTTCCCAGTCAGTGAGTTTTCATGAAAGGAAGTGTCACTTCCTTCCCATCATGAGGAGGGTGACTGGGGTAGGCAAATAAGAGAGAGGGAGGGAAAGTGGGGCCCAGGCCTGGCAGGCCAGCTCATGGGAGGTGTGCAGCCTTGAGGCTGCTTCTCCAAGCACCAGGGTTCTCAGAGCAAGCATCCTCATCCCACATACTTAGGTCAGCCTGTCAGGAGTACCCCAGGGAGAATCAGACGCCTTGGGGACAGGCAGGTGTCAGCGAGGGTGTATGCACACAGTTTCTACTGCCTTTTGTGAGGGAGATCTCACTTCTTGCTTTGTTCTGCTTAGAAAGCCAGTCACCGAGCCTAGCACACCCTTCTTCTAGATGATGGGAGTGAGCTAGGGACAACGATGGAGGTGATAACAGACGCACCCTACTTGGCATGGTGGTGCATGTCTATAGTCCCAACACTCGGGAGTCATAAGTTCAAGGCCAGTCTGTGCTACATAGAGAAACCCTGTCCCAAGCAGACAAATACACAAGCAGAGATACACCCAAATGGCTCTAGAGCCCCCTCTGCCTCCTGCATCCTGCACAGTTTCATCTGATCTCAGCTCATTGGCTGCAGGGGTCAGGCTCACAGGGGTCAGGCTCACAGGGCCTCTTGATAGCTCTGCACGCATCCCGCTGCTTCAGAGACGCCTCTGGTTCCGCTCACTATCGCTACATTCCTCTTCCTCCTTTTACACGGAGCCTTTGTCCACCTAGACAGCGGTTACCATTGCTTCAGCGAACCTTGGCAGTGTCCAGTGGTTTCCTCCCTTAAAGGTTATAAGGTTTGCAAAGGCATCCGTGTGTTGCAAGGTGGCGGGGCCTGGGAGAGGCGGAGGCCAGGCGTGTTGATTCACACTGTAGAGCTTCTGCAAACCCTTCCTATTCAGGCGCGTTGATTCACACTGTAGAGCTTCTGCAAACCCTTCCTATTCTGGGCCTGGCTGGCTCAGTGGTTCACACTGACCTATTCTTACTATAAAGTGATGGCGCTGCACAGATCTACTCAGGCATGCGGGGTAGTGTATACCCTGAGCTCAGGTGAGAAAGCCAAGGTTGGTCTCCCTGTCCTGTTTACAAAGCTCTAGATCTGGAGGTTCTGGCTCTTGGCGCAGTCAAACCTCTGTAGTTTGGAATCTCAGCTTTGCCACTGGGAAGCTGTGTGACCATGGGGCCAGTTGTTTGACCTCTCGGAGCCTCAGGCATGACATGTGTTAAAAGGAAGAAGACTCAGGAAGGCTTGTGTAAGATGCCCAGCCCCAGACAGCCCAGAAGAGATTAGCTTTGGTGAGGCTTAGCTAAAGCAGAAAGGAAAATAGGGAGTGGCTTGAAAACACTAGCTTTGGCAAGCTTGCTCTGATTGGAAAGAGGGACTGAATCCTGGCCCTCAGTGCTTCACAGCCTTGGAGTCCATCAAAGTCAGTCATAACCCAGGACGGGCTGCGCCAGCCCTTCTGCTGTACCCCTCCCGTACCTGGCCTAGGAAAGGACTCCTCTGTCAAACTCTCATCTCCGTCTCCCTGGGTTCTTGTATGGACAATGGAGTAAGAAAGCCCAAGGAACTATGGCGTAAAGCCCTGCCATTGCATGAAGGAGCCGAGCAGAAATAAAGCTGTTTCTCGGTTTAAGTGCTTTTCAACCAAAATCGCACTGGTGTTTTTTGTTTGTTTGTTGTTTGTTTTTGAGCAGTGGCTCACAGCCTTCCTAACGCTGCAACCCTTCAAGACAGTTCCTCATGTTTTGCGGTGACCCCAACCTTAAAATTACTTCGTTGCTACTTCATAACTGTAATTTTGCTGCTGTTATGAATTGTAGTGTAAATATCTGATCTGCCACCTCTGTGAAAGGGGTCTCAACCTACAGGTTGATAACAGCTGCTTTAGAATCCGAGCCTACACCATCTTGAGTTTCGGATGGAATGCATTGCAAAGAGGAATGTTGGAGGGGGGCCTGACCTCGTGTAGTGAACTCTTTCATCAAGCTACAAAAACTAAAGCTGCACATGGATGTATCACTCCACGTGAGTGGAACAGAATAGAAGGTCTAGGAACAACCCCAGGCATCCTTCGTCAGGTGTGAGGTTGCAGGGAAAGCAGCATTCATTGGCCGCAGAGGGTGTGACTCTGCCAGCACTGGCAACCACTGGGCCAGCGGAGGAAAATGTGGGTAGACTCCTACCTCACACCTCACCCGTCACACCAGAAGCGAGTTTAGATGTGCTGCAAGGAAGCATCGATCCCTGTTATCATTGTTGTTTCATGGATAGAAAACGTCCTGTGTGGATGGCGTTGTGCAAGGCAGAGGCTGTCTTCTTGGAAATATCAGCCTCCTTCGCTATCACAAGTAGGACATCAAAGCACTGGCCGGGAAGGGATCCTGCACACAAGCCGAGGGGTAGATGAGGATTTGGTTCGTGGTAGCAGCAGCCAAATAGGAAAAGGCCACTTTCTCCTACCTCACAGGCAGGGTGATTCTGAGATGTGGGGGCCAACTCCCACCCCTTGTAGAACCTAGAACTTAGCCTGCTACTTCATGCTTGGGGCATGTATCAGGAGTTACAGGAGTCAGGCAGGCTGGGGACACTGTCTCAGTCTGTGGTTGTGGGTTTCATGGCAGAACCTTTCGTACAAATGATTTACCTGGAACCCATATCTATAACTACTTGGGGAAATGAGGGGTTAGGAATGCCAGGGACAGGACAAAGGGTAACCTGCCCTGTCATCTAGTGCAGGAGTCAGGGCCCAGAAGGTCCTGCCAGGGACAGAGAGAGTGACAGCCCTGGCCAGAAGAGAACGGACACCAAGTTCATTTGGGGACTCAGGACATAGTGATAAAGAGAGTTTCCCTTTGTGGCTCAGGGCGGGAGCTCTGATCTCTTTTCCATTTGGGGTCAAACAGCTTGGATTGGCGACTTCTTTTCCAGGTAACATGAGTGGCCTACCCTAGGAGATTTTTCCTTGAGCAAGCTTACACATCCCAGAACTGAGCTGAAATTAGGGCTAGAGATCAGCAGACTGGCGGCTGTCCACCTGCAGCCCACAGGGCTCCCTGGGAGCTTTGGGTTCTGATGGAGCCTCACTCAGGCTGTAAGCCTCAGCCTTAAAGTGCTCCAGGTGCTGTCATGGTCGAACTGTTAGTTTTTAAGATCCAGGGCTGTGGCATGACAACTCTTTAGCACCAGGAAGCCCAGGCCTCACTAAGCTGCAGATGGAGAGTCCCTGGTGCCCATGCCCAGGAGCTGAGGCGTAAGCTGGAAGGGAAACAGGAGTGTGCAGAGGCCCCCATCCAGAGCAAGAGGTGCATCTGGTTGTCAGACTTGAGAGTCACCCAGAGGTGGCAAAGGACCCTTACCCCGCACCCTAGAGCCTTTTTCTCTCCGGGCACAAATCACAGAAGCAAAGACTGAGGCACAGAGGGCACAGAGTTTCAGAGAATGTGGTAGAAAATGGAGGGCAGTTGTGAAGCCCTGGGGCTTCTGGAAACTGGCCGTAAACTTGAATATCAGTAGCCATCTAAGAGGGTATCCAAGTTGCTCTAGATGGACACAGGAGTGAGGATGCGCAGCTCTGAGTGAATTTGGACACTTCACGAGGTCTTTGCCAGTGGTGACTGTAACCACAGTCATTGAACCAGCGGTCAGCCCTGCTGAATCTTGAATTCTGGTGCCCTAGGGAGATACTGAGCCTCTTGACCTCCCTGGCCTCAGCTTTCCCCTCTTTAAAAGGGGATCCCTCCTGGGACTAAATGAGAGAGTGTACCTGCAAAGCCAGGGACCCACACAATGTGAGCCAACAGGCATGGATGGCTGCACTAGTGTGCATAACTGTCAAGGGGAGGGCCCTTCAGGAGTTGAGCATCCTCACACCGGCTCCTCGGGGTCATGTGGCTGTGGGACCAGAGTCCTCAAGGGGGGTCCTTTTATCCTCCTCCTCTTCCTTCTCCTCCTCCTCCTCTTCTTCCTCCTCCTCTTCCTCTTCTGTTTTTCGAGACAAGGATTCTCTGTGTAGCCCCAACTGTCCTATGTAGACCAGGCTGGCCTCAAACTGGGAGATTCTGCCTCTGCCTTCCAAGTGCTGGATTAAAGGCGTGTGCCACCACCACCAGGCACGAGGAGGTTCTCTTTTCCCTGGGCTGATAGGAAAATGGGACTCTTTTTGCCCGTGCTGATGGGGAAATCTTATAGCTACCAGTGACAAGGGTTCTCTGAACTGGAGTTGATACCAGATTAGCAAAAAGAAAAGGGAAAAGGTGCAATGGCTCATGCCTGTAATCCTAGCCTTTTGCAGCTCAGGGTCAGCCTGGGCTACACTATGAGACCGTTTCAGAAACCAAGGGCTATAGCTTAGTAGAAAGTGCTTAGAAGGATCGAAGAGAAGAATAAAGCATAATGAGATGTATGAAATGCCAGAGTAAAATCTATTTCTTTGTATGCTAACTAAGGAAAAAAAAAAAGGATTTAAAAACATCTTTGCCTAGAATGTCTAGGTGCCATCCCCCAAACCACAAAGAACAGATTACTAAAAGCTGTGAGTGTCTAGGCCAGGTGGCCTGGCACCTGCCTACAGTTGCAGCAAAGCAAAGGTGGAGGCAGAAGGAACAGGGCTTAAAGGTCAGACTTGGCTACCCAGTGAATTGCAATCCGGGCTGCATAAAACCCCGCCTCATATAATGGAAACAAAACAAGTTCCCGTTTAGTTGGACATGGCAGCATGTGCTTGTAACCCCATCCTTCAGGTGGCAGAGGCAGGGGGATTGCTGCATTTTTAGGCCAGCCTGGACTGCACAGTGAGACACTCTCTCAATTAACTAATTAATTAAAAGGATTTGGTCCCGACCTGATGCCAGCCTGCCTCATCACCTGAGGCACCTGAGGCAACGTGGGTTGCTCTTTCTTGAAGCAGACAATCTGTGACCCTTTCCATCCCCTGCACAGGCCAGAGCTGTCACTAAATAACGTGACACTCGTGGCCATCATCACAAGCCATGAGCCTCCATCCTTCCTCACCTGGCATCTCTCTTGAACAGGGCACTCAGAAGGTGTGGGCAGTCAGTTCAGTCATGATGGACAGGAAAGGGAAGGACAGGAGTGCTGGAGTTAGCTGGAGCTGGGAAAGGCCAACCGGAAGGAGGGATTATAGCTGACCTGAATGGTGCTCAGAGCCTTGCTAGTGAGGGCAGCCTGGAGCTAAGGGGCCGTTGGTGGGGGGGGCCTCATAGGTGGAGGCCTGGCCGCAGTTGGCGGAGCTACTGCAATGCTCTCTGCCTGAACATGGGCAGGTTTTGGAGAGAGTGTCTGCACAACACACCCTACCTCTTCTGCTTGATCCTGGACAATAATGAGGAGGATGAGGGTTTCCTGCAGAGACATGGGCCAGAGTGAGCGTGTGTGTGTGTGTGTGTGTGTGTGTGTGCGTGTGCGTGTGCGTGTGCGTGTGCGTGTGTGTGTGTGTGTGTGTGTGTTTAGAATGTGGCAGCCAGGACTGGCCAGCAGAGGACACTCTGTGGAAGTAAAGTGAGCACTCACCCTTTCCCTGGCTGATGTGAGGTGATCATTCCTCAGCCACCATTCCGCCTACCTGCATCTCACCTGCCCTCTCCCCTTTCATTCCTCTCTCCCAGCAGCACCTCCTGCCAAAGGAAAGAGCGAGCCGTCAGAAGAAGGTGTCCGCCTGGAGCTCCCTGTGTCCCCCAAGCCCTATGGTGAACAGGATAGGAGCCAGAGCCCCAGCCAGCCGGAGGTGAGTTGGACAAACCCTCGGCCCTCTTCCCTGCTGGGCTCAGCCTCCAGGGACCCTGAGAAGCTCTGAGTGCTGAGAGGGAAGCAGGTGTCT